AAATCATTGAAGGGATCCTGGTTTCCATTCAGAATGGCCATCTGGGCCACATACGGTCACTAAACCGTATTTATTTTTTAGGTCAGCAGCACCTTTAATTCCTAACATTTGTATAAATACACGCACACTGTTTGTCCTAATCAAATAAATAACAACATTCTTCAGTGATAGGGCCTTTGGCTAGAGGTGCTCAATGCGATGCCTTAGAGAGTGTTGTGTTTCTGGGTTTCTGTTGCTGGTATCTACAGAATTCCCCAGGACCTATGCTGGTCATCACATTTTCCTTATTTTCCATTTTCTTATGGTTTCACATGGCTGCCATTTACAATCGTCATGGCAATAATGTCTTCTTGTTGGGGAAGTAAAAGTGGTTATTTTTTTTAATGTATAGACCACATTGAACTCCCAGCTCACATGGGATTAATCCACTGGAGAAATACAGGGCATTAGAGGCGGGGGTGGAGGAGAGTATTGGCCCACCAAGGCCTCAAAAGGAAAATTCTCTCAGATTTTCTTAGCTCCCCGGAATTTGGCCCAGACTATGCATTCAGCCATCATTTCACGCATGCATGTTCTTTCATCCAGCCATATTGGAACCTCTACCCCTGAAAATCTGTAATTCTTTGGGTCTGCATTTCACCTATCAGTTCTTATAGAATAAAACACTTTAACATTGTAAGCTTTATCATACACTTTAATACCTGGTGTCCAAATTGCCTTCATTTTTCTTATTATTAAAAATTCAGTTTGCTCTTATGCATTTAAAGCTTTTGCTCATCAAGATCATCTTTATTCTGTGAAAGTGCATATACCTAGACCGTGCTAAGTGCTGAGGAAAAGCATCTCACTGCTTCCCATGGCCTCCACCATCTCCTGTAGAGTGGGGTCAACAAGAGCCTCAGGAAGTCCTTCACAGCCTGACCTACTCAAAGATGTAGGAGGTTATAAAATTTCAGGTTAATTGAAATTGTTTTTCAATGTGTTTTCCCCAAATTGGATCTCATTATACAGGAACATATTATCTTTTATTCAAGACTTTTGTTACTTCATTTGATGCAATATATAGATTTTATATAATTGCTACAGATTCTTGAGGCACATTCATATATATATGGATATATATGTACACATATGTACATTAATGTGTACTTTTTGCTACTCCTTTGGATATGACAAAATAAAGCTGTTGAGTCTTTTTTTAAATATAAATAGTTTATTGTCAAGTTGCTTTCCAACAACACCCAGTCCTCATCCCAACAAGTGCCCTTTTCCATGCCCATCTCCCCCCTCCCCCCCACACCCATCAGTCCTCAGTTTGTTCTCGGCATTCAAGAGACTCTCATGGTTTGCCTCCCTCCCTCTCCCCCACTATTTCCCCCCTTCTTCTCCCCCATGGTCCTCCATTAAGTTCCTCCTAATCCTCCTATATGTGCAAACATATGGTATCTGTCCTTCTCTGCCTGACTTATTTTGCTCAAAGCTGTTGAATCTTATAAAACCATTTTGCTAGACCCTTTATTTATATTATCTCTTCTTTTTTATTTGACTCTTTTGTATTCTCTAGGTTGACCATCTACAGGTAATAATAAAGTCAAAATAATCCCACAATATTTACAATTCATATACTTTTTTTAACCTATAATGTCAGCTGAAATTTCCAGGGCAATGTTAGATATTGGCAGTGACAGTGGTCATTCTCGTCTTACTTAGGAATTGAACTCAGCAGCTGCTAGGGTTTTACCTTGAGTCTCCCATTAGTTTCTAACCAGTTTTCCTTATTATGCTAATTAAATTCCAGAATTGCTCTGAGTTTTTGTCAGGAAAGGATATGTAAAGCTATCAAGTGCCTTTTGGCATTTACTGGATTAAGTTATATTTTCTTATGTTAATCATAATTGCCATTTGCTTATTGAGAACCCAAGACATGGTTTTGTAGTATTGCTTACTTCCTCATGACGCTTTTAACTCATTCTTCTCTTCCTTGTATTTTCTAGACACTACTAGCTCCTTCTAGAGTCTGGGCTGGATTCAGCTTCAGTTACTTTGGTAGGAGATCATTTTAGGTGGTGCTCTTTTCTTACTGTTTTATCACTGAATCCCCTGCTATCTGGTTATACCATCTTAGTGAGGTTAGGGTTGATCAGAGGGTTCAGGTATTATTAATCAGCAGTATATTTTATTATAAAAAGCTCCCATTAACCTTTCACCTAGTGGCTTTAGCATCTAGTAACAATGGTCTCAATCTATTATTTTAATAGGAGTGACAAAATAGCAATTAAAAATAATACCTATTATTGTTTTTTCCACTTAGTAGCTGAAATTTTTCTATAAAAAGAAACTTAGGTCACCCTGAAATGCAATTTGTACAGGAAAAGCAGGATAAATGCTTGCTTTTCCTTTTCCTTACCATGTGCTAGGATAATGAGTTGGTGCCCTGATGACCTCAGAGAGGCAGGAGGTAGTTAATGTGATACTCCAACCAATGATGTGATGACTGTAGCTGCGTTTTCTATTTCTGTCAACAAATGGTAACGTTAAAGAGTATTTTTACTTTTAAACTGTTGAAAAGGCCCTTGATAAGGGTCACTAGAAAACACTGGAGGGAGGAATTTTGTTCATCTCTGTGAGTGGTAGATGACCCTCATCCTGTCCCCCTAATTTGCCTTGTCTTCACCTCCATTTGCTCTCCTGATTGGAGCACTTAGGATGCTGTTCTCTGGAGGTGGAAGGCAGTTTCATTTGTCCCAGGATGTTTTTATTGCTTATTTTGGGATTCATTATTGATCATGTGGTCTTTTCACATCTCCCCTAATTGCTCAGTAAGATTATGTAGCTTCACGTCAAGGACAGTGTTGCATTCCTGGGGCCCAGGTATTGGGATGCCAGTATCCCTCAGGAGCAGTTACAAAGCTAATTCTTAGGCTCTTTATATTACCAAATTTCAAGAGCCCCAAGAAGAATAAAGAAACAAGAAGTGATGGACCCTACAGAGAAACAGCAAAAGCTGTCTCCATTTTTACTTTCTTAATAATAGCAGTTGGGGCGTCTGGGTAGCTCAGTCCATTAAGTGTCCGACTTCTGGGTGGCTCAGTCTGTTAAGCGTCTGACTTTGGTTCAGGTCATGGTCTCTTGGTTCGTGGGTTCGAGCTCTGCATCGGGTTCTGTGCTGACAGCTCAGAACCTGGAGCCTGTTTCCGATTCTGTGTCTCCCCCTCTCTCTGACCCTCCTTTGCTCGTACTCTGTCTCAAAAATAAATAAACATTAAAAAAATAAAAAACATAATAGCAATAACTTTATAATGGGATATGGAAAATGAGGATGATGATGGTGATAATGATGGTGATGATGATTTTGTGTGTGTGTGTGTGTTTGCATGTGGGTAATGAATTAGGAAGTAATTATGAAAGATAGAGAAATTTAAGTACCTAGCCTGTATACATCTGGATTTACAGTTCTAGGTGTAGGCAACACCAGTTTTGAAGCCCATAAATGTAAGTGGCGTCTAACGTTGCAGTGGGCTCTGACATTCAGTGTGGTGTCAATCATTTGGGTCGACAGTGATTATTCCAGCCGATGTGTCTGAGGTTCAGTTCAGGGCCCACTGAATCATTCTGAGAAAGAGTTGGCCCTGACCAGGAACATTTATCTTTGAGTTTGTCATGCAAACATCTATGTGCCTTTTGGATCAAGGCTTCTTTCTGTCTTATTCATTGGAGAAACAGAAAGATGACGGAAAAGAGAAGACCACACACTGGAAACAGGATGGCTTCCTGGATTGTGATCAGTGTAGGGACCACATACTGTGAAAGCTCGTAGGTAGAGTCCATTGTTTCATCTGCATTCAACAAATACTGATCTAACAGACACATGTCAGGCACCATTTAAGGCTCGATGGGTAGAGCGGTCAAACACACCTTATCCTCAACTTGAAGGGGCTTATTAGGCTCAGAAGAAATGCAGCAAATAAATGGACAGTTATAAAGGATGTGAGGAGTGCCTCAGTAAGGATTATCTGGGGTTCTTAAGGAACTCACAGAAGGAACACTTAGCCCAGGAAAGGGGGGCTCCGGGAGTCTACCCCATGAGGGATGTCTGAGCTGAGGCCTCCCTGTGGGAGGGGTTAAGAGAAGTCAAAGCAAAGATACCCCATGTGCAAAGCCCGTGCTCTATCAGAAGGTGTTCCCTAAAATGTATAATACTAGGTGGGTCCGAAGAGGAGGATGGGGGTGAGTGAAGTGTAAGACATAAGGTTGGAAAAATTTAGAGATCAATCTTATCCGGCCTTTAAGTCAGTAAGAAGTTTGGATATATTTTGAGGCTGGTGAGGTATCCAAGAGAGTGACACGGGTCATGTGTTTTAGAGGGATTCTGCTGTCCCGCAGAGCCTGCTCAACAATCATTTGTGCGATGACATGCAGCATGTATTTTCTTCTTCCGCACTTTCAGACATGCATGTGGTCCGCAGGAGAGGCCAGCCCTGCATGTGTGACGCCCAGGGAGACGTGGGGGGGCCGGCTGGCCCCGGGGGTGCCTTCTCCTCTGCAGGCGCCCACCTCCCTGACCAGAATTCCTGGGAATCACACCATCTCCAGTTCAACCACAGGGCCTCGTGGTGGTTTAACCCACAGGGAATCTCTATCACTTAGCAAATCAGAAGAGCAAATAAAACTCACTCTGTTGCCCTCTGGAAAAACTTAGAACCAACTGCATTTTGAAGGCAGAGAAGCTGTTAAACTTGCAGGAAGAGTTCTTAGCAAGTGCCAACCTGTGCGGTTTCTGTGTCAGAGTGGGAGGTTCAAACACAACCCCAGAAAGAGTATCTAGAAGGGAGGATGGAAACACACTTAGATAGGGGCAGCGATAAGAAGCCTCCTGCACTTCAGAGACTTCTGAATATGAAGTGCTTTGATTGGCAGGAAGACAAATGGGGAAGAAAAGGCAAAGGAACCAACCGAAAGTTTTCGTGTGTAGTTTCAGGTTAGTACAGAGGGTGAGAAGTACATTGTTCTCAACCGTAGAGTTTTAGGGGGGGTGGGGAGGAGAAGGACAGAACGCGATCTGAGTGTACAGTGGGCCTGAGTGGCTACAGTGATAAAGATGCTTCCAGAAGCAGATGCACTTCTTCGCTGGGTTTAACCCTTCAAATAGCACCGCTTTGTGAGATAATTAATGCTTTACTTCAGCCGCCACCCCAAGGAGCTGTGGTGGAGAGAAGAGGCCAAGAGCTAGGGGCCCGGGGACAGAGCCCCCCTGTTCCCCCAGCGCCCACCACACGAGGACAGCAGCAGAGAGGCCGCCAGTGGAGAGTGGGGGCGAGGCAAGGAGGGCACGACAAACAGGAAGCCCCTAACCAGAGACGCATCGGGAAAGGAGAGTTAGAGCGGGCAGAACTCACCTCAAGGTCAGTACCCTTCTAGAAAAAAAGAGTAGCTGTGACCTAGTTCACACTTTCAAGGTTAATGTTGCGAGCGGAGGGGAGGCTGTCGATGACATGGTATAAGTGGCTTCGGCAGGAAAGGAGCTGTGGAAAAAGCTGTAATTGGCTGTGTGGCTGATGTTCTATGAACCTGTAAATTCACTGATGGGCACAGTACAGGACAAGAGTGTCATTGAGGTCCTTTCTCTCGGTGTGTTTCTAGAAGAATTGTATTTGTAGTAGGTTCTGATAGCATGGTTCTTGAAAATCGGAAAATTGAGCTAATTTTACCAGTGTCCGCACCATTAGGCTTAACCTTCCTTCCTTCAAGCAAGACTAAGCAAGGATGCACTTAAATAATCAGTGCTGCCTATCTAAGTATCCACTACCCTCCGTAGGGGGTGGTGAACTTGCTCTGTCAAGGGTCACATAGTTACTATTTTCAGCTTTGTAGGCCACCTGGTCTCTTTGCAGCTACTCCTCGGAGCACAAAAACAGCCATGGACCATGTGTAACCGAGTGAGAGTGGCCAAGTCCAAACAGACTATTGACAAAGGTCAGACAGTAGACTGGACTCTGCCCATGAGCCAGAGTTAGCAGAACGCTGTCCTGGACGATCTCTACTGAAGGCAAACTGAGCTCTCTGCCTCGAACGGAAGTGAGTCCTTAATAGATGGCCCCTCAACAGTGACTAACTCCGGGGACGCCTCGGTGACTTGCCAAAGTCCTAAGGGCATGGCGGGCCGAGGGAAGCCACGTGGCCCTCGCTGGAAAGAGTCTCTTCCCTAGATGCTTCAAGGCAGGGAGCCGAGCCCTAGACTGTCACACTGCTTTCGATGTCTTATCGGATCTCGGAGCCTCCCAACAGCAGGGACATTCCAGCCAGAGGCGCACAAACTCTCACATCTGGAACCAAAGGGAGGGAACGAAGGACCCCACACACTCAAACCCTTCCGAGCCTCAGCGCCTTCTTCTCAAAGTCCAGCACAGGCTTTCTGCTCTGCAGCCCCCTTGCTTTCCAACATGGCAGTAGGTGTCCCAGCAAGTGTGGAAGGGAGGGAGCGGAGCGGCCTCCCCACCGCACATGCCGGGTGCTCCCGTGTGGGTAGCTGAGGAGAGACTAGGACCCTCCCGATGATCAGAAAAGGCACAGACACTGGAGAGAGCAGAACATACTGCAGATAGAAGCAGTGAAGCTGAGGAGACCGAGAAGCATCAGCCTGTGTAGACAGTCCGGGAGAAGGAAGCCACGTTATCTGAAGGTTGTCACCCTGCCCAGGTCACCCACGAGCATGCAGTGGACGGCGGACTTGTGAGCTGCATTCACACTTGTGCGGTTAGCTGGGACGTGTTTGATACGAGAGGAATCCAGTAATATTTTGATTAATGACTTTGTCGAGGATGAAGCTCTTTTATACAGACAGCTCTATTAGAAAAAAACCCTCAAGCCAAAATTCCTTCATAAATCATGCAAAAAATGGCTCCCCACACAACAAAAATAGCTCGAGCACAGTCTCTATTTGTCTTTGGTTAGATGCTGATGAATGGGGCTCGTCCTTAGCCCCGTCGTAACGGCCGAACTTTATCTTCAGCTGCAGGTCTTTCTGCGCCTTTCATTTGGATCCTTAGCCTCCAGGCCCCCCGACTTTAGCCACTGCAGAAAGCAAGCGCACATCTGCCCTTTCCATCTCTTACCTAAGTTGGCTTTGGACACCTTGGGAATGAGGGTGTTACTGCAGGCTATTGTCAGTTCATTCCCTCTTTCTCATAATACTCCCTCAGCCCTGCTTCATTGCTGCCAGGGGAGAAAATTCACTGAGGGTCGATGATGCTGTGTTACATCTAATTTCTCGTAGGATCCACAGCCAGTATGCTGTTGCATGCTGGTTCTTCGTCGTTCTTACTTCTTCACCTGTGTCTTTACCAACCTTACCCAGCCCTGACAACATACACACACCATATAGATATAGCATTAACAGAAATATAATGTTTTGACATTTGTTTAATAAGCACTTAGTGATTCCTTACATCATAAATCATTTATCTGACACCCTGGACTGCCTTCCATATGATCTATTTCCAGCTGTTGGAAAGTTGTGGCAGGTGTGCAACAGGACTATTCTCAGCAGGTGCCGTGAGGCTCAGTGCGCGTTTGCAGACCAGAATGGTTGAGGGACCACATGATATTGATAAATGCAAGGCCAACAGCAAAATGTGGTGGCTTCTGCAATTGGAAAGACCTGAGATGAATTTGGACTCTTGCTGTTCACTAGCATAATTTTTCTTATTGAAGTGAAATCCATACAACATAAAATTTAGTGTACAATTGAGTGGCATTTAGTATATTCACAGGGTTCTCCAAATACTGTCTGTATCAGGCTCTGAAACATTTTTATCATCCTCGAAGAAAATCCCATATCTTATGCGGTCACTTCCCATTTCCTTTTCCTTAAGCTCCAGACAACCATCAATCTGGTTTCTTTCTTTACAGATTGACCTATTCTGGATATTTTACATAAATGTAATCTTATAATTTGAGACCCTTTGCATCTGCCTTCTTTCACTTAGCATAATGTTCTCAAGCATCATTCATGTTGAAGCAGGAATCAGTATTTCATTCCTTTTCATGATTGTATAATATTCCATCGTGTGGACATACCACAATTGGTTTATGCATTCTTCTGTTGAGGGACATTTGGGTTGTTTCCACTTTCCGGCTCTTGTGAGTAGAGTTGCTACGAATATTGGTATGCAAGTATTTGAGTACCTGTTTTCAGTTCTTTGGGGAATGACATTGCTGGGTCATATGCTTATTCTGTTTAACCTTTTGAGGAACAGCCAAACTGTTTTCCACATCAGCTGCACCATTTTACATGCCCATCAGCTGTGCACAAGGGGTCTGATGGCTCTACTACCTTGTCTACACTAGTATTTTCCTTAGTTTTGATTCTAGCCTTCCTGGTGGGTGGAACGTGGTATCTCTGCAGTTTTCATCTGCATTTTTCTGATGACCAGTGATGTTGAGCATCAGTTCATGTGTTTGTTGTCCACTTATGTATCCTCTTTGGAGAAATGCCTATTAAAGCTTTTGCCGATTTTTAAATTGGGTTCTTTGCCTTTTAGTTATTGAGTTGCAAGAGTCTTTTATATATTCTGGATCCTAGACCCTTATCAGAAGTATGATTTGCAGATATTTTTCCCCCATGCTTGAGCTTGTCTTTTCACTTTACTGATAGTAAAGGTTATTAAGTATTTTGAACTGTATTGATTATGCAGTGTCTGTCACAAGGTCATCCCAGGTACTGGTGTGTGTCTGTGTGTGTCTGTGTGTGTGAAGGGATACAGGTTTGTGGCCATGTATGGCGAGTGCAAGGGGGGAGCAGTTAGGAGAACACTTTCTTGAGGGCTTCAGGAATTCTTGGGACTGGGTCTAACTTAGGTTTTATAGCTTTATTTTCTGTCAGTACCTATCAGAGGAAGTCCTGTAATTAATCTTTGATAGATAGAATTCATTTTCCTGACTCAGATATAAATCCTTAATGCCCTTGCTGTCTCAGTCCATTCTCTACAGGCATCCAGGCTATCTTTCAAAATGGCAAAACTGTCCACATCACTTCCCTCCATGAGATATTTAGTGGCTCTGTGTTGCTGACACAGTTGTGATTATTTACGCCTGAGACATGTGTCCAAGGGACTGTGCTTGGTGCTGCTGTTTCAGATGTAAGCTGGATGCCACGGTTTCTGATGGCCAGCTTTGACTCCTCCATGGGTGTCCAAGATACTTTCAGTCTGGAGCTGACACAGTTTTTGCATCTTCCCCACCCCCACAGTCGCACCATTTCCTGAAAATACCTTGTGCTGTTATGCCTTTATCTCCTTCTCCTCCTACTCTACTTGCAAAGTCTTGGGTTGGAAAGCCCAGAACTGGCACATTTTTTCTATGACACCTTTCTCGAATCTATTTGAATGAATTGTTCCCTCTCTGGGCTGTCATAAAACTTGTTCAAATTTGACTTCTATAGAATTACCAGGTTTTATTATAATAGACGACCTCTGCAACCTGTCTGAGCCAATAGATTATTGCATGACTTAAGGGCAGAGACCAAGTCTTTCTCATACTTGCATTTCCAGGGCCTAAACGGGGTTCCCTGGCACAGCTCACTAATATTTTGGACAGATTGGTTTCTTTTTTTAATTACTTGCAAAACAGAGATACCACATCTGACTTTATCATACAGACAAATATCATATTATTTGTCACAGGTACAAATAATACTGTAGAGGTGAAAGGGTTTGGAAAATAGCATGCTATGCAAATATAAGGTGGCACTACCCAGTACTATATGTCTTCAGCCTAGTTTTGTACCATTGATTTCTTGCCTCTTGAAAAAGTCCCCACATGAGATACTGATGCTGAGCAGTGGGCACCTGCTGATAAACTTTGGAACTGAATCCAGAGGTCCAGAGCTGACCTCAGGCAACAGGTTTGCTAATGATTCATGCTCCCCCTCCCCTTCTTCCCAGATCTGACCCACCTTCTATTTTGACCTTCATCAGGGGACAAGTGCATTCATACAATTCCTCTCATGATAGAGGCAATAATTCATTTTTTTATATTGACATGGTGCTATGCTCCTAGCAAGTTCTTAAGAAACTGAACTGATATTTTACATAAGATAGAAGGGAACAATGATGAACCTAAAAAATCAATCACATTAAATATTGTACTAGAATTCCAGAAGATGCGACCCTTGGGGGAAGCTGGGTGAAGAGTATATGGACCCCCTCTGTGCTATCTTTGTAAATTACTGTAACTATTTCAAAATAAAACATTAGGAAAAAAAATCACCCATGATGGTAGATTTGTAACTATCCTGAGTCACGATATGTTTGTATCTGGAGGGTCTCCCGCGGTCCCTTCATCACCTCCAAAGCAAATGCCTGTGGTCAAAGAAGAGGTACAAGTAAAAGGAAGGCCATGCCGAGCAGAGCAAGAGTCCACACCACGGAGCCTTCTAGCCTCTGGAGCCCGAGGCCTCTCCCCCTGCCCTTCAGTCTCTGCTCCAATGTCACGTTCACAGTGAAGACTTCCCGAGTCTTCCTGTCTAAAAGGGAAGCACTCCCACCCGCCTTGCCTTATCTGCACTTTCCTGCTTTGCTTTCCCTCATGCACTCACCACCTATAACTTGCTATGTATTTTATTTTTTTATTTCAGTTTCTGTCTTATTGCACTAGGATGTAAGTTCCATGATGACAAGGACTTTTTCTACAATTTTTTTTTTACTGTTGCATCCTTATTGCCTAGAGCAGAATTTGGCAAAGAGAATGCACTCAGCCCTTCGCCGATTTGTTCAATGAATGAATCTTTGTAGAAATTTAAAGCTTGAAAATAAGCGATTTCCCCGAGAGAGAAGTGATTCAAATCTGCTCATCCCTTGTGCAAGAGCAAACCTGACATTGAAGCTAAGACCTTTTTCCTGTGTTCATACTTCAGAGAAAGAAGACAATAGTGATAGTATCTGAGAGGAAGGAAGCAGTGCATCGTGCTGGGCCCCTGCATGTAACATTATAAAAATTATCTTTTTTTTTTTTTTTTTTTTTTAATAGACCAGCCTCCCAAACAGTTTCCAGAGATGGATTATCTTGCTTTCTTCTTGGCTATTCTTCACATACACAGAGGTAAAGATGTCTTCATTTAAAAATTTACTTCTTTTTTGGTCTTATAGTATGACATGTTTAGAATTTATAATGCTCTTTATTTGGCTCAGATAATTTGTCACTTGTTCAGGAAATCTACAAGTTACAAATACTTCTCATAAGTGGTGGAAACCTTTCTAGGCTAAGAGAGAAACTGTTAGCCTTTAGCATGATCTCTATTTGCTACCTTGCTAGGTCTTAGAAAGCTTAGAATAAGCTTTGGGTATCTATTTGGTGTTTCAATCATCAAGCCTCACTGAGTAAATGTGATGTTGTCTGTTTCAGCTCTATGTGAAGAAATGTTCTGGGACACGACTGTTAAACTGACTAAGAACATGAGTCTAGAATGTGTGTACTCATCACTGGACACCATAACCCAGATGGAGTGGCTCAAGGTCAATACTACGGACAGGGAGTCCATAGCCATATTCAGCCCTACTTACGGTGTGATTGTAAGAGCACCCTATGCTGATAGGGTTTACTTCTTAAACTCTACCATGGCTCCTAATGACATGACATTGACCTTTCATAATGCCTCTGAGGCTGATGTGGGCTTCTATTCGTGTTTTCTTCATACTTTCCCATATGGACATTGGGAAAAAGTGATCCAGGTAGTTGCATCAGGTAAGTGAACATTTTATTTACCCATTTACCCATCTTCAACATTTGATTCTTAAAGCCCAAGTAGAAACTATGTAATGTTTGTCATATTTTTGTGGTATTTTCCAATTTCACTTCTAGATCTTTTTTTTTTTCCTGAAAGAAATTTATTTTATTTTGTTATTTTTTTTTATGATACAGTCTATTGCCAAATTGGTTTCCGTACAACACCCAGTACTCATCACAACTGCCTTCCTCAATGCCCAGCACCCTGTTTCCCCTCTCCCCCGCCACCATCAACCCTCAGTTTGTTCTCTGTATTTAAAAGTCTCTTATGGTTTGCCTCCCTCCCTCTCCTTAACTATTTTTTCCCCTTCCCCTCCCCCATGGTCCTCTGTTAAGTTTCTCCTGATCCACATATGAGTGAAAACATATGGTATCTGTCTTTCTCTGCCTGACTTATTTCACTTCTAGATCTTATGATATTATTGCTTTAAAGAAATAATTCTGTGAATTAATTTCATCTTTGTTAATGTGCTATCATTTCTGAGTAGAATAAGCATCTCACATTTGAGTGTATTAGGGGAAAGCACAGGTCTTACACTGTCTCAGTGATGACTTGAGCCTAGGCTGAACTCGTGCTGGCCACAGTTGGGTTCAGAAGCTGGACAGGCCCCCTTCTGCACCTCTTCCCAGTGATGGGATGCTGCTTCCTTCTGCTAGGCACTCAGCACCAGCTTCAAACCCCTGATGTAACCCCAAATCTAGACTTCTTAGTGAATCTGAGCAGAGCTCATACACTGGCTTCTGTTTTTGCCTCATCCAAATTCCACAAGAGTGGACCTGTCAGAAATTGTGAAATGTCATTTCCGAAAGAATCGAATGATTTATTGGGTATTTTCTGCTATGTCTGCGAGGTTCTGTGGTTTGGTGCATAGTGAGTACATCCTTTGAGTAATAGCCACACGGATTGTGTGTACTGTATGAGAAATGCGTGGGTTTTATAGCCTTTACTTTCTATATAACATTAGGTTGGCTGTTCAATCCCTCAGAATCTCAGGCTTCTGAACAGTAAATTGAGTTAATAAAGCAATCTTTTTGTTGAATGTCAAAGGGATCATATGGTTAAAGAACTCGGCCTATGGTAGTCCGGGAATGATAGGTATTATTATTTTAACTATAATTATTTCCTATGGTTTTGATAACAAAATAACTAACAATGAAATTTTCAAATGTCAGCAATAGTCTAGGGAAGGAAATAGTCTGAAACTGTGTGTTTCTTGTCTGGAGTCTCTAAAATTATATCTCAAATGGACATTCAGCAGAACACATTATGTGACATCTGCTAGAGTGCTTTCTTTTTAAGGGATGCATATTATAAAAGAACAATTTACAATGTTGTGTAAGGGATATCGAATGGTCAGAAGGTAAGAGAATTTCCCATGTGACAGTGTTTTTTTCTCTGTAGCTGTAGCTAAGCTCAAAAATGGCTTTGTGTGCATGAGTGAAGCTTGCAGAGTGTCTATTAGCAAAGTCTCCTTAGTGAAAGACATTACAGCCCCGACCTTCCCCCTGAACTCCTCATTCACTTAGCAGTCAGCTGTTAGGTCCTGGCGGCCAGATTTTAGTATATCGACCACTTTTGGTTGGCCATGCAAATGAAGAATTGGCAATAGCTCTACTCCTAAAGGTGAGTGAGCGATTGGGTGCCCAGCTTGAGCCACCAAAACCAGAGCGAGATGGGACCCCCTACCCCCCACCCTTCAGATGGCAAGCTTTTGCAGTTCAGGTTCCAGATCAGGAATTCCAATTTCTGTCAGGGAACAACCAACTCAAAACAGGTAGAATAGGGGCATGCGGGTGGCTCAGTCGGTTAAGCGTCTGACTTCAGCTCAGGTCATGATCTCAGGGTTTGTGGGTTCGAGCCCCACATCAGGCTCACTGCTGTCAGCATAGAGTCCACTTCGGATCCTCTGTCTCCCTCTCTCTCTGCCCCTCCCTTGCTTGCGCACGCACGCTCTCTCTCTCTCTCTCTCTCAAAAATAAATAAACATTAAAAGCAAAAAAGAAAAAAGATAGAACAATGGTCACCAAGCACAGGGAGGTGGGGAAATAGGGAGCGGTTGTCAAAGGACACAAAGTTGCAGGGATGTAGGACAACTCCACCTAGAGACCTCCATTAATAATATTGGAGTGAACACTGGACATTTCCTGAGAGAGTAGACTTCAGGTGCTCTCACCAAAAGAAAGGTAACTGTGTGAGAAGCTATGTAGATTAATTTGATTATAGTAATTGTTTCACGGTGTTCATATATGTTTATCATATCATTGTGTTGCCTGCCTTAAATATATAGAATTTTAATTTGAAAAGAAAAAAACAACAACAGTCAGTTTGGCCTCTTCTGAAAGTTTAGGAGAGAGGATAGAGCTAAAATGTAGAGAGAGAGAGAAAGAGAGAGACAGAGACAGAGAGAGAGAGAGAAATCAAGCAGAGGAAGGGCAGACAGAGAGAGAGAATCCCAAGCAGGCTGTCAGTGTGGAGCCTGACGCAGGGCTTGAACTCATGAATCATGAGATCATGACCTGAGCTGAAATCAAGAGTCAGATGCTTAAATAACTGAACCACCCAGGTGTGCCTTCGTTTGGTTGTTGTTGTTGTTTTGTTTTTACTAAAAGTGATAGTGAGGTTAGAAAATATAGTAGCTGTAGTTCAAAGTTAACCTCATATATACTTAAAGTCTTCCGTCTGTGCTTTATTAACGACCCATCGGGACCTATTGTATTGCATGCATGTGTAATGTAGAGTTGACGATCTACTTAAGACTACAAGATTGCACTTGGAACCCAGAAGTCACAATTGGTATAAAAGGTTGTAAGAGCTTCCAAAGGATGAAGGAATTGAACTACATACTCTCTTCAAAACAATTTTTTTAAATGTTCATCTATTTTTGAGAAAGACAGACAGACTGAGCAGGGGAGGGGCAGAGAGAGAGGGAGACACAGAATCTGAAGCAGGCTTCAGGCTCTGAGCGGTCAGCACAGAGGCCGACGCGCAGCTCGAACTCACAAACTGAGATGATGACCTGAGCTGAAGTCGGACCTTAACCAAGAAAGCCACTGCTTTCTAAATACACTATTTTCTTCTCTTTGCTGATCGCTTACTACAAGGGAGGAATTTCACCCATATCTTCTCACTTAACCACACTGCACACTTGGATGTGGACATAACCTTGATTTTACAGGCAAGGATTTGAAGTGTGGTGAGGTCTAATATCTGTCTAAGTTCTCAGACTTTGTATGTGTCCCACTGGATAAAGTTGTAGTTTGAGGACAGAAAATGACAGTTTGGGGGTCATGGAGCCCTCTGGGGGCCCTCCAATGAGGAGACATCAAGCATGGTACATCCTTGCCACCACCCCCCCCTTCCCCCACGGCTTTCAGCCCAGAGCTGAAGAGCAAATTGGGCATCTTATTCTGGATAAATGGCGCTGTTAATGCAAATTTATGTTAAAATGTGTGTTAACTTCACAAGTGTTTTTCAACTAGTAACCAATTTGGAGAATTTAATGGTAAGAATGGCTGTATTTATTTTACTGCTTTAAGGGAAAAGATGTTGAGGTGGCTGGGAAGGTAACCTTTCAAAGGCATCCCTTTCGTGGTGGGAGTGGGGTCAAGCGGAAAATTACTGCATGCCATGTGTCTCTCGCCTTACTAGCCCGTTAAAGCGAATGTAGTTACATTTATAGAAATGCCCCCCACCCCCAAAAGGGTGGCTCACCCCCAATCCTCCACCACCTAACTTTCATCAGGTGCCTCCTGGGTATGAAACAAATGGCCTCTCCTTTAATACTTAGGAGACACCATGGCAGAGGTGGTGTGTTCCCACCATGCAGCTGAAGGAGTGTGGCTCCGAGTTATTAACCACCTCGAGGTTGCTGAGCACCAGGGTGAAAGCAGTCGATGTTTGTGAGGTGCCAGCAATGAGATGAGGAGGAATTTGACTGCAGCAAGGTGAATGAGGAGGCTCAAGAATCAAGTGCTGGGCCTTGACGACTTGGAAGGCTTTTTTTTAAGAGAGAGAGACAAGTGAGGGAAGGAGAAAAGATGGTGGAGGGGCAGTGTCTTAAGAATCCGGACAGTGTGGAGAGGGCACGGGGGGAGTCTGGCGTCCACGCAGGAAGAGGGTGTGCACCTGTTTGACCACACACAGAGCTCCAGTGGGGGGAGGTTCCCGCCCTCGGCCGGCCGCCCCTCACTGCCACGAGAGGTGGGAACAGGGGTGCCCGCACCAGCAAAGGGGCTCAGTGTGTGATATGCCGGCGTCCCAAGTAAGGTTTTATGCCATAGATTCTAAGTTGAAAAAGAGAGCTGAAGGCCTCCAGAGCAGCAGAACGTCAGGAAAAGCCTGGGAAGTTAGGTCAGCCCAGATCTTGCTGTGCCTAATGGAGTCTGAACTTCATACTGTAACGTAGACCATGGGAAGCTACTGAACATTTTTCACAGGGAGACACATAATAAGCCAATTCTTTTTTTTTTTTTTTTACCACCTGCAAGATTAAATTAGTTGTAGCTTCTAGGAGGGGGCGAGTGTAAGGTCAGGTGAACACGTAGTATTCTATGGGTTGAAACACTTATCCATTGCCAGTGGGAGGGTAAATTGGTATATCTGTTGTATTATTGGTGTTGGTAATATTCAGGGTTCTCCTGAGAAACAGAACCGACAGGATGTATATGTAGATAGAGATTTTTTTTTTACGTGGAATTGGATCATGTGATTATGGAGCCCGGCAAGACCCAGTCCACAGTGTGGGCCAGTGGGCTGGGTCCCAGGAAAGGCAATGGTGTGGATGAAGTCAGAAGGCGGTCTGCTGGAGATTTAACTAACTTGGGGAAGCGGGTCTTTATGGTCTATGCAGGCCTTCAACTGATTGGACGATGCCCACCCACACTATAAAAGGCAATCTGTTTTCTCAGAATTCACCAATTTAAACATTAATCTCATCCAAAAACACCCTACAAATTAA